GGCGACGACGGCCTCCGTTGTTGTCCGTCCTCCGTCGTCGACGACGCCGCCCTCGGCAGCGATCCCTCACCGGTCCTCCTTCCTCGTCCCTTCTCCCCTCCCCCCCCAGCCCCCCACCCTACGCCGAGCCCGACGCCGCCGCCGCCGCCGCCGCCGCCGCCGCCGCCGCCGCCGCCGCCGCCGCCGACGACGACGACGACGACGACGACGACGACGACGACGACGACGACGACGACGACGACGACGTGTGACGACGACGACGACGACGACGACGACGCCGACGCCGATGCCCGCGCCGACGCCGACGCCGACGGTGGCGGGAGCGACGGCCGCAGCGGCGACGGCGGTGGCGGCGAATGGAGGCCGAGAGGGCCGCGCGTGCTGCGGACGCGGAGAGCGCGGCGGCGCTCCTGGCCGCGGAGCGGGCCGAGGCCAGCGAGCGCTTGCGCGAGGCCCAGGACGCGCGCTCTTCTGCGTCCCGCGAGGCCTCATCCTCCTCTTCCCCTTCCTTCTCCTCCTCCTCCTCCTCCTCCTCCTCCTCTTCATCATTCATTCTCCTACTCCTCCACGTCCTCCTCTTCTTCCTCCTCCTCCCTCTCCTGCTCCTCCTCCTCCTGCTCCTCCTCCTCCTCCTCCTCCTCTTCCTCCTCCTCCCCCTTTCCGTAGCCATTTTGGCTCAAGCCATTTCGGCCCAGGAAGTTTTGGGCTTGCAACGGCCGTCTTCGAAGTGGCAGTCGCCGTTGCGGGTCTTTCTGGCTCGGTACGCAGGTTGAGGGACCTTTTCCCTCCAACTATCCACGACGCCTCATCGGCGGGTCCCATGGCCAAGGACGAGGAGGCGGTGCTCCCAGGTCCTAGGTAGCCCTGCTGGGGCTGCCCCCACTGCGGGCGCAACCAGAACTGGGCATGTCGAGTCCGCTGCATCTGCGGCAAGGCAGCTCCCCAGTCAGTCATCCAGCGCGCCAAGGAGAACGCCAAGAAGTCCAGCCCTGGCGAGGGGAATCGTGCTTCTGGTCCTCGCGGTGCATGGGCGCGCGGTCCACCTGTGCTCAAGGCAGGTGGCAACTCATCCAAGATCGAGCAGCAGCTGGCCAACTTGGCAAAGCAGGTCGAGCAGCTCACCAAGGGTGCAGGAGGCCAGGCGGGAAGGGCGCGCGCAGGGGGCGCAGGCACTGGTGCAGCCCGCAAGCCTGAACCCAAGCCCGATGCTGAAGAAGGTGATGGTGTGGTGGACACGGAGCTGGTCGCCCTTCGTGCCAAGGCTGACGCCATGGAGGAGGCGCTCTCCATCGTCAAGAAGTGCCCTGAGCTGGGCTCCTCGGCCACCCTGGCCCAGATGGAGTCCGAGCTGGCAGCTGTGCGCAAGTCGATCACGGAGCGCAAGCCTGCCGTCACGAGGCGCACCACCCTGGGGCACAAGCTGGCCAAGCGTCAGCAGCAGCTGGCCAAGCTTGAGGATGAAGCTGCTGAACATCTTCAGGCCGTCGAGGGTGCTCGGGAGGCGTTGGCCCAGGCGCGCGACAAGATCCAGGCGATCAAGGTCGAGATCGCGGCTTTCCAGGTGGAGCTCCGCAGCACCCTGCAGCAGGTGGCCCCGGCCCAGGAGTCCACGCCGTCCTGCGCGCAGCTGTCGCCCGAGGCGCTCGAGCACGCGCCGCCCGAGGTGCAGCAGTTGGTGGCATCGCCGTCTTTCGCCAAGTACCGGGAGCTGCTTGCGGTGCAGGCGGCGCAGGTCAAGGCCAACACACCTCCCCCAACCCCAACTCTCGCTGAAGGTATCCCTGGGGGCCCAGGTGTTCCAAAGCAAGAACCAGGGAGAGACACTATTCCAGTTCCAGGGGATGATGAAATGGACATCGACCTGGGCGATTTCGATTCTGAGGACATCTCGAAGCTTCTGGCAGTCGCTAGGAAGGAGGGCGAGGAGCATTCGGAAGAGTTCACAGCACTTCTGCGCACAATGGGGGTCAAAGCCAAGAAACAAAAGTGTGGGTGACACTATGTTCGGCGTCCCTAGTCCTCTTCTCTCGGGGATTCCGCTCTCACCTTCAGGTCGGCCAGTGCCAGCCCTGAGAGGGGCCCCCAAGGGTGTGCAGAATAGTTCTTTTTCACATTGAGTATTTCAACGGTTCGTGCTGGAAGACACTTCGACGCCGTCTCGCTGAGACGGATGCAGTGGTACTCTGTGCTCAGGAGCTGGGCATGAGTGACGAGTTCCTAGGGCAGGCCACCAGCGCGGCCCGTAGGTTCGGTTGGCACGCTCTCCGTCTCCCTGCTCGACTCAATCCTGAGACTGGAAAGCTATCTAGTGGGGCCGGCGTATTCGCTCGTTTGGCGGTGGGACTCAGGTGGCCCACCGAAAGGGGAGGTGACGGTTGCATCGTGGCCCATCGCGCTACCAAGGTCCTCCTGGGTTTCCCTGGATGGCCCGCGGTATCGCTCTATTCGGTATACCTTCGTCCGGCCGAAGGCCTCAGCGAGGCCAACCTCAGCATCCTGAAGGCTCTCGGAAGGTCGGTTTTGGATTCGGAGAACGCCATCATCGGAGGGGATTGGGATCTATCACCACAAGTTCTTGAGGGGTCTGGATTTCTCCGTCGCTTAGGCATGGTGCTAGTCGTTCCTACGATGCCCACGTGCAGGTCTCCAGCCCCCAGCAGCACCATCGATTTGTTCTCCAGACTGATTGGCGGCGTCGCAGTCGACACCAAGTGGGAGGTCAAGCCGCACCGCCCAGAAGGTTTGAAGATCAAGGCAGAGGCCCTCTCCCTCAGGCAGCTCATACATCGATCTCATCAGAAGCTTCCTCATGATCCTCCATGTGCCCCCACGCCCCATCCTGCAGAGTGGCGAGGTGCACTAGCACACGCTGCGCAAGCTGTTGCTCACGCATCTCTCTCTTCGGCATGCCGCGCTTGGAGAGTGCTGTCGAAGACTTGGGGCCACTTCGTTGACGTTGCCGAAGTGGAGCTATGTATTGTTCTCGGAGTTGAACCACGGGAATTAGGAGAGAGGAGCAGGACGATTAAGGCATATTGGGCTTCAGTTTTTTATCGGCCGAAGGACCCAGATGCTAGGCTCCAGATCATCGCAGGTTGGAAATGGCTGTTTAACGCTTTCACTGAGTTTGTCACGGCGGTCCAGTCGGACGATTTAGACGAACGCACGTGCATGCACCTCCAGGTAGCCTTGCAGCACGGCTGTGCGGGAGAAGGTCAGTGCGCCAGGCTTGATGCATCCTTGCGCGTCATGCGTGAGATTGCACTCCTTTGGCGCCCCGACCCCTCGGCCAAGCAGTCATGGTGTGAGCGTGCACATCTCTTCCTGCAAGGTATTCAAGCTGATTTTGATGAGGCGGTTGCTGAATGAGAGCGGGTTGCAAGGGAATCTTGGGGCACCTTGACCACTCAAGCTCTTCGAGGCTCCGCGAGGCTCATGCACAGGGTCACCAGAGCTCAGAAGGTTTGGGCCCCCACGGTTGTGCAAAGCCCCCCTGGTGCAATCACGTCGGACCCGAATCGCCTCCTCATGGGCGAGACGGTTAAGTTAGGTGAGTATTGGAATGCTAGTCTAAGCCCTCCAACAGCTTGGGTCCCAGGTCGCGAGTGCTTCCCACGAGCCACCCCGACGGAGCTCCGCGTCGCCGCGAGGTCCTTCAGCAGGGATACCTCCCAGTCGCTGGACGGCTTCCAAGCGAGACATTGCCTGCCTCAGCGACATGGGGCTGGAGGTCCTGGCGCTACTCTTTGAGGCGGTGGAGCGGATAGGATTTTTTCCGCCCCAATTGTGGTGGGTGCTGGTGCCCCTCTTGGAGAAGCCGAAGGGAGGTCTACGGCCCATCCTGCTCCTGGGGTCGCCCGTGCGCCTGTGGGAGAGGCTCCGACGGGGCCGAGCTGCTGAGTTTTTAGAGCGGGCCCAACGGCCTTACTGGTCCTTCGGGAATGGAACCAGTTCGGGGGTGGCCATCTGGAAACAAAGCGTCCTAGCAGAACAGGCTTCTTCGACTGGGAAGGCTACATCAGGTTTCATTTGGGATGGTATGAAATATTACGAGTCGTTTGTTCTAGCATGGCTCCGAGATCGAGCCGTCTACTGGGGCATTTCTATGGTCCTCATCAAGACCCTCTACAATCTATGGCGTGGTCCCTGTGTACTCCGATTGGGCCCCAACTGCTCCCCTCTGGTGCTCTTTGCGGGCTCGGGTCTACCAGCGGGGGACGTATTTAACGACGTCTTCGTTAAAGCATATGCTATGTACGATTTCGACCAGTTCTCGCTCCGAAATCCACGGGTATCGTTAGGCTCCTACATAGATGACGACACGGTTGTCGCGTATGGAGACGAGGGTGAGATAGTGGCGAATCTAACCAAGGCTGGCCACGACTTGAAAGCTATTTTTTCGGAACGGCTGAACGTCCACGTAGCAGAGGACAAGGCCGTGACTTTTGCATATTCGCAGGGGCTGGCGGCGAGGCTCTCCAGGAGACTACTAGTGGCGTGTCCGTCGGTGGCATCGAATGCAGTAGTATCGCTTGGGACAGACCTAGCACCAGGCCAGAGGAGAGGATGCAGAGGAGGACTACACAAGCGGCACCAACGACTACGAGCTATGCGTAGAAAGGCACCGCTTCTTATCATTTTACCGCAAACGGTTGCCGCGGGACAAGTCCAGCATGTCTAAGATTTATGTTGTTGGAGTTCGTCCTGCAGCGGCCTACGGAGCCATGGTTCTCGGCTTTGCGGATGGCGAGCTACGGGCGTTTCAGAGTACTCTAGTGGCTGGACGCAGCCCAGCACACAAAGGTGCCCCCCTCACTGCTAAGTTGGCATTGCACGGCGATCCAGCGTGGAAGCAGGCGGTTGCACCAGCGGCCCAATGGGCCTTGAGCATCTGGAGGCCCATCACCCAGCCACGATCATCACCTTTCTCGTTTCGGGAACGCATCCAGATATGGTGGGACACGGTGGAAGCTCAAGACCTTGTTCTGGAACCTTCTGGCTTGAAGCTATCTCGGGGGCCCATGCACCGCATGCCGTTGAGCCTACATAGAATAGGGTGGGCAGCTACAAGTTTCACAGTGTGGCACGACGACCGAGGGTACGTTATTGATCTTCTCTACACGGCACCTGCCCTGGTCAATAAGCTACTGCAGGATGGAGTTCAGAGATCACATGAGCGTCGTATGGCGCAGGCCTTGCCAGAGTTCAGTGCCGGCAGAGTTGCTTCGGACCCGCTCCAAAGAATGATGCGGTCCAAGCGCACCCCCCCTCGTGAAAAAAATACTGGTTGAGTGCTGTTTTCTCTGGGGCCTGTTGGGCGGGAGATAGGCTGAGATCCTCGGGGTATGTTCACGACGGTTTGCGCCCGCTTTGTCGTCAGCCCGACTCCTTGGTCCACAGGCAGTTTTTCTGCGACGGCCCCGAGCCTCGAGCGGCTAGGCGAGAGCACTGACTGACGAAGAAATCGCCGAGGTGAGGACGGCCGCGCCCGATAGAATGCTTTTCTGTTCTCGGTTGATAATGGCTCAGCCCACCCCTCCTCCTCCTTGTTTGGACCTCGACCCCGTCCTCCAGGGTCCTGAGGGAGAGCCATTAACGATCGATGAGTTTTGTAGACTGACCCTCGACACGGAGATCGTCGTGGATGGGTCGGCCACCATTGGGGTGTTTCGAGAGCTCAACCGCGCCACCTATGCTGCTGTTTTCCTAGCCCCTGGCACGGACTACATAGTGAGAGCTCGTACCCTAGGCACTCTGTGGCCAGGTCTTCCCCAGACAGCCCAGTCTGGAGAACATCCGGGGATTGCAACTCTTTAGCTGCCTGGCCACGGGACGAAGTGATGTGCGCAGTGACTGTTTGGGGGCGGTGCGTCTGGCCTCCTCGAGCCCTGCTGCGCAGTTGGACCCCAATCAGACCTTTGCGGGCATCCGACGAAGGGCCCTGGCGGAAGATGGCCAGGCCAGCATAATCTCTGTTTCGCATGTGGCTGCGCATCGCTCTGCAGGAGCGACCACAGCACTCCCACCGCATGAGCGGAATATTGCCCTGGGCAATGCCGACGCGGACAGGTTGGCAAAGCGCGCGCTGAGTTTTCACCCCAGCCTAGCCCCAGACGGGCTGGAGAGGCTGGATCAAGAATTTGTCATGCTGCGCAAGCTCGTGGCAATGTTTGCAGCAGTGCTTTCCTGTTTTCCCAAGCTCGAGTTTCGGCGGGAAAAGACGGGCCCCAGGATGCCTCCCCCGCGTGCCCTGAGCTGGCACGATTGGGCCATCCTCGACCCTGGCGATGAGAGCGACCAGGCAAGCGTGGCTCGATGCAGGAAGTTCTTTAAGGTGTCCTATGGCGGCGAGAGGCTTATGCTCGGGTGCAGTGGACTCCCCATGGCCCTGCGTCGTCTGCAAGGCGCGGAGAGCGAACGGGGCCACCTCCTGTGCTCTTCTCTGCGCCAGACCGCCAAGTGTGAGATGCTTGTATGTTGCTTCAAGTGTGGGGCTTTCACCAGCCAGCGTTGTTTTCTTCTCGGCGAGCGGTGCAAAGGAACGCCTGGACCGAGTGGTAGGGGAGCTCTCCACCGAATTCGGCAAGGCCTCCATCCTCACTACAGATCGGAGGAGAAGGTAGCTGCAGGTTCTGGCGTCACGTGTCGCGCCTCTGCCAAGTATGTGCTGCTCCCCGCAGCCACGGCTGGTAGCCCCCCCGCTCCCTCGGGTGTGCGTCTCCTGCCTTCGCTGGAGGCACTGGCGGCCCGAGTAAGAGAGCGGGAGGAGAATGCAGCTCGGGCTTTGGAGGAGCATGGAGTGCTGCCTCGGCCTCCGACCCGCGGCAACCCCGCGGGTTAAGTCTAAGTGGCTAGGGGGGGAGACGCTCATCTCCTGCGTTGCCACACCCGTCAGACTGCCGTGCGGCGCTGGCTGGTAATGCTTTGTTCTGCCTCGTGGGCCCCCGAGGAAAATCCTCCTCCTCCTCCTCATCCTCCCCCATCCTACCTCCTCCTCTCCTTCTTATATAGCCAAGCCGCGGGGGCGCTCCGCCTGCGGCGTCCATCCTCCGTTTCCTCCCCGTTCCTCCTTCCCTCCATCCCTCCCTCCCTCCCTCTTCCTCGCTCCTCCCACCCCCTCCTCGTCCCCATCCTCCTCCTCGTCTGCCTCCTCTTCCTCCTCCTCTGCCTCCTCCTCCTCTTCCTCGCTCCTCCCACCCCCTGCTCGTCTCCCTCCTCCTCCTCCTCCTCCTCCTCCTCCTCCTCTGCTCCTCCTCCTCTTCCTCCACCTCCACCTCCACCCGCTCCTCTTCTTCCACCTCCTCCTCCTCCTCCTCCTCCTCCTCCTCCTCCTCCTCCTCGTCCTCCTCCTCCTCCTCATTCACTTCATTTTCCTCCTCCGCCTCCGCTCCCTCCCCACCTTCTTAGCCAAGCCGTGGGGGCGCTCCACCTGCGGCGTCACCCATCATCCTTCTCCTTTTCCCCCCCGTTCCTCCCTTCCCTCCCTCCCTCCTCCTCTCGCTCCTCCCACCCCCTCGTTGTCCTTCTCCTCCTCGTCCTCCTCCTCCTCCTCCTCCTCCTCCTCCTCCTCCTCCTCCTCCTCCTCCTCCTCCTCCTCCTCCCCCTCCTCCTCCTCCCTCCTCCTCCTCCTCCTCCTCCTCCTCTGCCTCCTCCTCAGCCTCCTCATCCTCCTCCTCCCGTTTGTCCGTCTCCCCATCTTCTCCTCCTCCCCCTCTTCCTCCTCATCCTCTTCCGTCATTCCTATGTGTTATAAGTGCCGTTGTCTTTCTGGCATCCCGAGGCCAGTACTCAAGGCGGACCGCGCGCTGTACCTGAGACCCCCTCACCTTTTTCATCACCCTGGGCCATAACCATTGTAAACATGTTCACATATGGAGGGTTGGGCGTTTTCAACCTGTGGCTGTCGCCTTAGCGCCGCGCACATTCATTTTGAAGATTTGCAAGAGTCCCACGGATTGACAACGAATTTGTTCCAAACTGCGGCTCTCGCTTTAGCGCCGCGCACACTTGTTTTAGGAGTGCACACGTGTATCACAGATTGGGGGCGTTTTTTTTTTTTTTTTTTTTTTTTTTTTTTGTTTTTTTTGTTTTTTCAACAGTTGGGTATCATGTCAGCGCCGCGTTTTCATTTCTCAGTGTTGCAAGTGTTTCTCGGTTTTCCACGAGCCGCGTACCAGGAATGTTGCTTTCGAAGGATACAGAGGGTGCAGCCGTTATTCGGTTTCGCGGCGTTGAAGTCACAGGAATGGCGTTTTGGCACGGTTCAGGATCGTCGATACGCAACAGTCAGGTTGTTCCGTGGCATTGGGATCCCGAGAACCATGCTTTGGCATGCTTCAGGGTCTTCAGAACGGTTGCTTCCCAACGAGGAAAAACTTTTAGTGGAACTTAATATTTGCAGTGGCCTGAGAAGAGGGAATTTGGAGGGAGGGTTTCTTCCAACATCAGAGGTGGCCCTTGGGTTTACAACGGTCCTCCTCCTCCTCTTCCTCCTCCTCCTCCTCCTCCTCCTCCTCCTCCTCCTCCTCCTCCTCCTCCTCCTCCTCCTCCTCCTCATTCATACTCTTTCTCCTCCTCCTTCTCCCTCCTCCTCCTCCTCCTCCGCCTCCTCCTCGCCTCCTCCCACCTCTTCTGTTTCTCCTCCTCCTCCTCCTCTTCCGCGTCATCCTCCTCCTCCTCCTTCTTCTCCTCCTCCTCCTCCTCCTCCCTCCTCCTTCCTCCTTCCGCCTCCCCCGTAGCCATTTTGGTTCAAGCTGTTTTCGGCCCTGCCTCGGCCGCGTCCGCGCCGCGCTCTGCCGCTGAGATTTGCTTGGGAGATGGCTGCGGTCGGCTGCCCTGCCGCCCCCCGTGGCGGCAGTGCAGCCCAGCAACGGCGGCGGGTCGTTGTGGCCTGCGCGGCGCGCCATGCAGGCGGCCGCGCGCCGCCCTCGACCGCGCGAAGGCGCTCGAGTCCAGAATCGCGGAGCTCGGGGCGGAGCTCAGGAAGACCCTGGGGGTGCACGAGGCGGCGGCCCAGCAGACTGTGGCCCTGGCGGGCACGGGCGCGACGGGGGAGGCAGACGACAAGCTGAGGGGCGAGCTGGTCGGGCGGCTGGCCCTCGAAACGCCGATCCTCGCGGCGGGCCTGGCCGCGGAGCAGGGGAGCGCGGTCGTTCCCTGCGTGCCGACGCTGGGCAGGCAGCGGCGCAACACGGCGGCGCACGTCTTCAGCGCCGTCACGGTGATCCAGAAGGCTGGCAAAACGGCGGAGCTCAACAGCATTTGGGCAAAGTATTAGGCATCTTTTGCAGAGGTGTGCACGGCTGGGCCGACGCGGAGGTCAGCCTCGGCACGTTCGTGGAGTTGACGCACGTGACGGCGCCCGCCTTCGTTTTCGCCGCCCTGCTGGAGCTGGTCTTCATCCTTGTGGGCAGCGGCCCAACGCGAGGAGGCCGCCGACGGTAACAGCGGCGCCCGTCCGCCGCGCGAGCCGTCCGCGCGCGCCGCTTCCGATGCGGTGCCGCCCCCCTGGGCCCTGGCGCGTCGCCGCGGGCGCGGCGTGCCGCCAGGCACCGTCTTCGCGCTGGCCGAGCGCGTGAGGAGTGCTGCCGAGCCGAGGCCTCTGTCCTTGGCGCCGGGAGCGCACTGGTGGAGGCGGGGCGGCGGGGGCGACGTGGGCGGCGGCGCCAGCGCTGTTCCCCATGCTCAAGCCGCCGCCCAGCCACTCTTGCCCTCCCTCGATGGCGCCTGCGACGCGGGCCCGTCCAGGAGGGCATCTCGTTCAACGCCGCCGACTCCGCCACGTTCGACGCGCAGGAGGTGGTGGACGCGATCCTCGTTCTCGAGGATGGCGTCGGCTCTGTGCGCAGCGCCCGCCGCGCGCTGTCCCTCGGCGGATCTGTCGGCGAGCTGGCCCCCGAGCCAGGCGCGGCCTTCGGCGGCCCCTGCGCGGCGCGCAGCACGACTTGCACGGCTCTCTTCCCGTCGTGCCGCGGCGGGCCCAGGAGCCGTCGAGCGCTACTTGATGGCTAACGAGGCTGCCCTCCTCCGTGGGCGCAGCGACGTGGCCCGGGACGTCGACGGCAGGGTCGAGGTGCTGGAGGAGGTGGAGGAGCCCCAGATAAAGACCGCTGCGATCGTGGAGGCGGCGGCGCTGGAGGCCGACGCGTTTTGCCGCGCGCTGGAGTCGGAGGAGATCGACGACGGCGTGGGCGACGCGAAGGGCGTCGAGGTGCTGGAGTGCCCCCTGCGGGGCCGGCCTCTGTGACGGCCCCCGCGAGGCCGCCCCCGTCGACCCATTCGACGAGCGTGCGGTCACGATGCTCCATCTATCCATCCTTCCTCATACTCCTCCTTCTTCTCCTCCTCTTCCTGATCTTCCGCCTCGTTTTCCTCCCTCGTCTCCTTCCCCTCCTCTTCCTCTTCCTCCACCTCCTCCGTCCCCCACCGCCTCTTCCTCCTCCTCTTCCCTCCTCCTCCTCCTCCTCCTCCACCTCCACCTCCTCCTGCTCCTCCTCCTCGTTTTCCTCCTCCTCCTCCTCCTCCCACCCTCCTTTCTCCCTCCCACTCTCCTCCCCCCCTCCCTCCTCTTCCCCATTTCCTCAAGGCTGCCCCCCTTCCGCCGCCTCCTCAACCGCGCCCTCCGGCTCCCTGCGCCCTCACGTTTTCCTAGAAGGTAGTCGCTCGTTGCAGCATTGGCAAAGTGTTTCGCCCTTGTTGCCGACTCGTATGCAACTCATGACGTGGATCATCAGCACCTTCTAGTCCAACGAAGGGATCTTCCTGAGCGAGCTCAGCCCCAATGGGTATGACGCCCTGGACAAAGTTGAGTACGGGTCCATGACAGACTCAGACAAGATCGTGGGGCAGCTGAGCCGTATCAGTCTCGCCACCAACAAGACCAACTCCATTACGTATTGCGATCGAGGGTTTTGGAGTCGGCATGGCCAAGGACAGTTGATCAACAACTTCGCCACCATCACCAAGTCCGGCAACAAAACCACTATGGAGGCAAATGTTGTCTGAGCGGCGACATGTCCAACACAGGGTAGTTCCAGGTTATTTTCTGCCCCGCGCATGTTGTGTCCGACAGGTGCGCGTCTACGTCGACGTGCAAAACGTTTGGGAGCCCAGGGCCGCCGGCTCCGCAGCCAGAGCGTCCGCCGCAGGCACGGACGAATCTCGATCGAGTGTGCTCTGGGCCTGCTCTCCCCCTTGTTTCAACGGATTCGAGCGGTTCCGATGTTTTCGGGCCCGGCCGATTCGAGGCGAACGCCGTCTTTCACTGTCTTTGGCCAACGCACCCTTTCGAAATCGTCCCCATCGCCCTAACCTGCGGAGGGATACTGGCCGATCCCAGTAGTTGACGCCCTGTGGTGGTCGGTGTTCTGCCTTACATATCGTTGCGCTGCGTGCTGTTGTTGGGCAAGTTTTCAGAGCCACTGCCCCCATTCCTGCATCGAATTTACTTTCTCTTGTCGCAGCAGTGTGGGACGATCGTCCCACACTGTCGCAGCAGTGTGGGACGATCGTGCCTGCTCTGGGCTGAAGAAATTGTGCGGGTGGATATTTGGTCCTTGCACGACATGTTTTTAGAACATGTCTGGTTAGAGGCGTCTTGTTTTAGCACATGGGATCTGTGTTCGAAGAACATTGGTCTCGCCATTCGAACACCGCTGGATTCTAAGAACACTTCGTGGTAGGCCTATAGGACTGCCGGGGCGGTCGGCCCCTGCTCCAGCGACCGGCCCGGCCGGACCAGCCAGAGTCCCCCGAGCCTGACGTCTCCCGGAGCGTGGGCTCCGACGCGGCCTGGTTCCGACAGGCCGTGGCAGGCCTCCGGCGCACCGGTCACGGCAGACTCAGGAGGAGGAGAGAGAGAGAGAGGAGCGAGAGGAGATAGAGAGAGAGATAAGCAAAACGAGAAATGAGAGAAGGATGATGGAGATGGAGGCAGAGAGAGAGAGGGAGAGTGCGAGAGGGCGCAGAGAGAGCGGACGCGGGTTGATGCAGGGCGCGATTTGGCAACCGCGCTGCCCACTGCCGTTTGTCCACGAGTGGCGGTGCAGGCTATCATGTCCCAGGATGTCGTGGGATCACTGCACCAGACTTTGTAATGTGTGCGCTGCGCGTTCCGAGTGTCGCAACTTTCGTCCCCTGCCCGTCCTTTTCAAAATTCACTCTTCTCTTCCTCGCCCCCCCTTCTTCCGCCACCTGGTCATTCAGGCTTGCACCACGGTGCAGGATCCATGACCCACCATCACCCGCAAGCGGTTCTCTGACTTGGACCACCCCCGCAGGGGGGCGTACGCAGCCAGCCGTGTCGTCGATGCTGACTGGCGGTCTGCTGCAAGACAGTCGGGGCGCTGAAGAAGGAACTCTTTTCGTTGGGTAGAGGCTGGGTGTTTCTTGATTGTTTCACAGTTTGCCCCACGTGTTCCTTAGGTTTTCAAAGGGAAATCGAAGTTCAACTTCTTGAGAAAAGGGGCCTCGTTCCTTATTTAGGGTTCCTTAGGTCAGCGCCCCCCGACTGTATCCCTGCAATTCCTCGGCGGCGAGCCCAGGGGGGAAGTGAGCAGGGGCGGGCCCTCTCAGAAGGCGCGGGAGCCCCCCGCCGGGAGCCCTCCCCGAGGACGCGGGAGACTCCTCAGAGGGCAGGAGGGCTTCTGAGAGCCCCCGCCGCCCTCTCAGCAGGCCTTCTCCTTCGTCGTTTCCCCCCGTCGCTCGCCGCCAGAGTCTCCCGACAGTCCCTTCGGATGCAACTCCTGGGAGGTCAAATGCTGTTTTTGCCCTGGTCCGAAATCCGGCTCAATCCCGCGTAATCCGGCTTCATCCCGCGCAATCCAGCTTCATCCGGCTAAATCCGAGGCCCACTCCGGCACAACAGCCCCCTTTAATGGGGCTTGATCCTTTTCAATCTTTCCGACGAAAACCTCCCAGCAGTTGCCTCCGAACCTCAGGGGCAAAACAAACCTACCTCGCTTTTGACCACCCTCGCTTCCAGGAGATACCAGGCGATGCCAAACCACGGCCTGTACTGGTCAGGCCGCTCGACGAGGAGGCGCTTGGTACGACTCGGTTTTGCCTGGAAGCGAAAGCGAGGTAAAGTCGGGGCCCTGAAGAAGGAACCCTTTTCGTCTGGGAGGGGCTCCGCGTTCCTTAAGTGTTTCACAGCTTGCCTCACGCTTTCCTTATGTTTTCGATCGGACATCGAAGGTTCACTCATGGAACAAAGGGGCCTCGTTCCTTATTTAGGGTTCCTTAGGTCAACGCCCCGACTGCAGGTAATTCGTTGAACCTTCTCGCTTCCCCCCCCCAGACCCCCGACGTCATGATTTTTTCATGACGCGACCCCCAGAGGTCCGGACCTATTCGCCGGGACCGGTTTTTCACCCCGAGTCGTTTTTTGACGGTCCACGCTGCCAACTCTTTGAGGCTTTTGAAGTCAGGGTTAGACCCCTCGAATGGCTCACAGTTTGGCAGGTCATTCCCTATTTCACATCTCCTGCGTGTGCCGCCGCCGCCGCTGCCTGCCCCTCAGAGGCCGCCGTGAGCACTGCAGGATTTAAACTCGTTTTTCTTTCTTTCTCTTTTTTAACGGGCATGTTGCTGCACCCTTGCTTGTATAGGCGGTAACTTGTTCTCTTCGCAGAAGGTCGCAGAAGGGCCGGTAAGAGCCCCCGGTGGCTGAAAACATAGAAAAACCTCCCGTCGTGATTTTTCCATGACTCGAGGGGGTCTGGGCCCGCCGCTCGCCGCCGACGGCTCCCTGCAGTCTCTCCGCCCTCCCGGGGCCCTCGGGCGGCCGCCCCGGCGCGGAGTGCGGGGCCGGCGGGGGCCCTCCGGGAGGGGCGCGGGGCCGCTCGCGAGGACGCCGCGCGGCAGGGCCTCGCCGAGGCCGCCGCCGCGGCGGACCGCGGGGCACCAGAAGCCACAGGGACGAAGAACCCGTCGTCGTCGTTTTCGTCGTTTTCGTCGTCGTCGTTGCGGGCCATATTTATATCCACATCCAGTGCGTCTTGGACTTTTTTGGAAGGGGCGTGCCGCAAGGCCGAGGCGCACTGGATACGGATAAACATTTAGCCTTGTGGAGGCATATCATAATTCATATCCAGTGCGCTTCATGCTTCTTGGGAAGAGAGTCCGAAACTCCAAGGCGCACTGGATGTGGATATAGACATTGCCCGCAGTCGTCGGGGTAAAGATGAAAAGGGGGACGCTTTCCTCCGCCGCCTCCTCATGAGATCCTCATGTATGACGCTGGCCAGACAGGGCCACTGCGCAGGGTGCGTTTTGTATAGAAGAACGAGCGGCGCCGACTGAAGCGGAGCGGGCGAGCAAATCGTTCCGCGGACGGGTGCGGCAAAGGTCCGGCGCAGAGTGAAGCAAAGAATGGTGGACCGACAGGGCGAGCATGAATCAGGAGGGAAAGAAACACACAGGCACAATGAATCGGCGATTCCCCAGAAAATATGGGAAAAGATGGGAAGTGGGGGGGAAGACAAAAACCCCGAACATATGGGAAAATATGGGGACTAATTTTATTTGTGTATATTTATTTGTGTGTCCCAGGGCCCCTTCAATGAAATCCTCTTTCTCCGCCGCCTCTCATTCTTCCTTCCTCACCCTCCAGCGCGCGGGCGGGGAGCATGCATGGTCGAGGTTCGAGTATAACTATGTGTGCAGGCAGTGCCTATTGGGGCCTCCTCGGGACTCGTCATGGCAGCAACTGGTCCCGCCTCGATATGTGTAGGCTGTGCCTCTCGGGCTTCCCTCGAAACACACATTTGCACACATTCACACACACACACACACACGCACACGCACACACACACACCTACGCACGCACGCACGCACGCACACACGCACGCACGCACGCACGCACGCACGCACGCACGCACGCACGCACGCACGCACGCACGCACACACACACACACACACACACACACATACACGCACACACGCAAACAAACAAACACACACACACACACACACACACGCACGCACGCACACGCACGCACGCACGCACGCACGCACATACGCACACACGCACACACGCACACACGCACACGCGCACCCACGCACGCACACACGCACACACGCACACAAGCACACTTTTGCGTTGGCGGCTTGGCAGAGGGACTGCTCCGGCGATGTGCCATCCACGCACACACACACACACACATCAGCAGAGGTCCAGGTGGATACGCCTCATCCACTACCCCCTGGAACGACTCTAAAAATCGAATCGTCTGAAGTCTGGGTCGTGTCCAGACAGTCATGCGGCGGGCGATCTCCTTCCTAGCCACTTTCCCTCTCACCCCTCAGCCCCCCATCCTACCTAGGGTGGACGACGACGGCGAAGACGACAACGATGACGATGACGACGAGAGAAGAGAGAGAGGATGAGGAGAAGGAGCAGGAGGAGGAAGGGATGGAAGCTGGCGAAGAGGGGGTTGCGGACCAGGATGAGGACGGACGGATGGATGGATGGATGGAGGGAGGGCCTCCGAGCGAGGTGGCATGCTGAGGCAGCAGGGTTAGTCTATGTACCAGGGGGCCGCGGGGCCCTGTGGGTCTCCGACAGCAGCTCCGCAGCGTCGACCTGGGGAGAGCGCGTGCCTGCTCGAGTGGCGGCGCGCGGGGCGACAGGGAGCGCAAGCAGGAGGCCCGAGGCACCCGGCATGCCCATCTCCGACGCGTACGCCCCGGCCTCTCCTGGAGATAGGCACGCGACAGCCCCAACCAAACAGACCCCCCTGGGGGCCCAGCAAGCCAGCGCAGCGCAAGCCATCGAAACGAGGAGCTCTTCGCCGTCTTTGGCCTGTCGAGGCCCTCGCTGGGCAAGGGCAGCTCAGGATGAAGAGCGGGTCCCGGGGAACGGGTCGAGCCTTCCCGGGGGCCCGCACCAAAAGAACATCGCGAGATCGGGAGGGGGCGAGCGCGGCCCTCCAACAGGAGGCCTCGCCTGAGATGGAAGCAGCAGCCCTCCTTTCGCATCCCCTCCTCCTCCCTCTCCTCCTCCTTTCGTATCCCCTCCTCTCTCTCCTCCTTCTCCTCGTCCTTCTCCTCTTCCTCCTCCTCCTCCTCCTCTTCCTCCTCCTCCTCCTCCTCCAATCCTCCAATCCTCCTCCTCCTCCTCCTCCAATCCTCCTCCTCCTCCTCCTCCAATCCTCCTCCTCCTCCTTCCCCTGCTATCTTCCTGAGCATCGTCATCATCATCATCAGCAGCAGCAGCAGCAGCATCTATCATCCGTCATCCGCCATCCATCATCATATCTCCCACCCTTGGGGGGTCTCCAGAGAACCCACAGCCGACGCGCGTGACAAAGCAGTCCTCCTCCATGCCCAGGTCCGTCGGCTGTCGGCCCCCCGACGACCCCGGCAGGAGCGCGAGCGGGCGGAGCTCGCCGCGGCCGCGGCGGAAGAGACCGCCGCGCTCCTGGCGACGGCCGCTCGCGAGAGGACGTCGACGACGCCGACGACGACGAGGCCGACGACGACGTTGACGACTTCGGCGCCGACGCCGACGACGACGACGCCGACGACGGCGACGCCGACGGCGAGGACGGCGACAGGGCCGATGATGATGGCGACGACGACGACGACGCCGACGACGGCGACGACGACGACGGCGACGACGACGAGGCCGACGACGACGTTGACGACGCCGACGCCGACGACGACGACGCCAACGACGGCGACGGCGACGACGACGACGGCGACGGGGCCGACGATGACGGCGACGACGACGACGCCGACGACGGCGACGGCGACGACGACGACGACGGCGACGGGGCCGATGATGACGGCGACGGGGCCGACGACGCCGACGACGGCGACGACGACGACGGCGACGAAGGCGAGGCCGACCCGACGACGTCGCCGTCGCCACGGATCGAGATTCTGAGCCGATTCTCAGAGGAGGAAGAGGATTCCCATACTGCTACCCCTCGCTCGTTTTTGCCTTTTGGGTCTTTTTGGGAGGCCCTCGTCGCCACCGCCAGATGCGCCTCGAGATCCTGGTCAGAGCGCATCCTTTGGTTTCCCCAGTCGCCGTCGTCACGGATTGAGGTTCTGAGCCGATTGCCCGCCGCGATGTCCGACGAAGCCATTGGACGCACGTTTGTTGCAGGGAGGTCGCGCACAGTGCGTGACTTCCATCGTGGGCCTACAGTGGAACACCCATGCCAAGAAGCATCCTGCTTGCCTCCAGGGTGCCCTGGGTGTTCAGGCCCTCGCGGGATCGCTGACCCGCAGACATCGTTTTGGTATTCCGGATGCTTCTCGCGGGCTTTGTCGTTTCCTGGAGGCCTCCAGGGTCGGAGGCCTGGAGGTTAGCACCAACACCAGTCTCGACGGTGTGCCTTAACGGATTGAAGACGATCCCGATCTTGGTGGTGGTGGTATTCTTCGGGTGCTCAGGCAGCCGAGATATTACCACCAACATCGAAATCTAGGATGATCTTCCACGGTGGAGGTGACCCCCTTGTGCTCGCATTGGCGCCCTTTCCACGCGTCCAACCAGAGCCTGGGGTGGCCTCCGCAGACCGTTGGGATCTTAGAGGCTCGGCGTCGTGATGATTTCGAAACCCACGGCTTCTCTTCGGTTGCGGCCTCCAGGGGCGTGTTCGGGGCCACGGACGGTCAGAGAACAACTCGGGATGAAGAGCCAGCTTTGGCGGATGGGTCGAGAGTTTCCCGCATGGATGCAAACACGACGTCGGAGGTTTGTGGACGACGACGACCACGAAATGGCTTGACGAGGGAAAGGAAGATGAGCAACGGTGCTTTTGGGCGATTGTGTGTGTGCCTCTTCTGGGAGGGTCTGTCTCAGGGCTCTTGTTCCAAACGTTCTCGTGTTGGGCTCTCTTCTAGAATAGAGCGCTGCGGTCGAGTCTCCTCCTCTCCTCCTCCCCCTCCTCCTGCCTCATGGGCCAGTGGGGTTGGATATACAGGAGCCTGCAGGATCGTGCCATGATCCCTCCTCCTCCTCCTCCTCCTCCTCCTCCTCCTCCTCCTCCTCCTCCTCCCCCTCCGCCTCCTCCTTCTCCTCCTCCTCCTCCTCCTCCTCCTCCTCCTCCTCCTCCTCCTCCTCCTCCTCCCTCGCGTCTCCTCCTCCTCCTACTCATTCTCTTCCTCCTCCTCGGACCCTAAGACGGGCAAGATGTTAACCTAATTTTGTATGGGTATGGCCCGTGCTCCTGTCCTTCAGTTGCACGACTGGTCGGCCGTGTCTCCTCCTCTCCCTCCTCCCCCTCCTCCTCCCCCTCCTCCCCCTCCTCCTCCTCCTCCTCCTCCTCCTCCAACTCCTCCTCCCCCTCCCCCTCCTCCTCCTCCCCCTCCTCCTGCCTCATGCCTCCATCTTCGTCCCTCCTGCGTCCTACTTCCTGCCTGCCTCGCGGCTCAGGGTGGCTGCGATGTGCGCCACTGTTGCCACGTTCGTGGGCTCCTGGGAGGCCCAGCGGAGTGGAGTGGTAAACAGACCCAGCCGAGACCTCGCGGCTCCCCTGGGTGTCTGCGAAGTGAGCCTTTGTCGCCACTTTCGTGGGCTCCTGGGAGGCCCAGCGGAGTGGAGTGGTAAACAGACCCAGCCGAGACCTCGCGGCTCCCCTGGGTGTCTGCGAAGTGCGCCTTTGTCGCCACTTTCGTGGGCTCCTGGGAGGCCCAGCGGAGTGGAGTGGTAAACAGACCCAGCCGAGACCTCGCGGCTCCCCTGGGTGTCTGCGAAGTGCGCCACTGTCGCCACTTTCGTGGGCTCCTGGGAGGCCCAGCGGAGTGGAGTGGTAAACAGACCCAGCCGAGACCTCGCGGCTCGCCTGGGTGTCTGCGAAGTGCGCCACTGTCGCCACTTTCGTTGGCTCCTGGGATGCCCAGCGGAGTGGAGTGGTAAATAGACCCAGCGGAGGCCTCGTGGCTCCCTGTGTGGTCTGCGACGTGCGCCACTGTCGCCACTGTCGTTGGTTTCTGGAAGGCCCAGCGGAACGGAGTGGTAAACGTACCCAGCCGAGACCTCGGGGCCCCCTGGGTGGCTGCGACGTGCGTCTCCTGTGGATCATTCAACATTTTCGTTTGTATTGATCGTTTCTGTGTATTGTTGCTACATGCGTAGAAGTGGTTGGGTACGTCGTAGTGTAATTTAGTGGGCGGGCTTTGGGACCTAGACCGGAGGGGTGTCGAGCAGGTGGCGTCGGATTCTCCATTCGTGTAAAGTACGTGCGCAGAGGGGGTATCCGACATGCGTCTGGCACGTGCGCGGTTTGGATGTGTTCTCACGTGTGCAGGCGCGAACGGGAGTGTCCAACATGTGGTCGGCGGATTCTCCAAACATCGAAAAACGAGCGCAGACGGGGAGGAATCCAACATGCGCATGGCACGTGCGCATGTGGGACTTGTTTCTCGCGGGTAGGCACCCACCAAGGGGGGTATCCAGTATGTGGGCGGCATATTCTTCAAGCGTTCAAAGCACAGGTGCGAAAGTGCGCATCCAGTATGCGCCAGGCGAGTTCGCTTGTTTTGGGCGTGCTTTCACTTGTGCAGGCGCGAAGGGAGTATCAACATGTGGTCGGTGGATGCTTCGAACGTAGAAATGGGTGCGCGTAGGGACGTATCCAGCATGCAACATGCGTCTGGCGCGGCGCCAAGGGAAGAAATCAGCATGTGGGCGGCTGACTGGTTACGAATACGTGCGCGGAGTGCGGTATGCAAAATGCGTCTGGCGCGTGCGCGTGTGGCAGGTGTTGTCACGTTTGCAGGCCCCAAGGGAAGCAACCAGCATGTGGTCGGCGGATGGTTCACACGCGCGGCTACGTGAGCGGATGGTGATATTCAACGTGCGTTTGGCGCGCGCACCTGTGGGACGTGGTGCTGTTACCCACGTATGCGCCAAGAGGTCATCCATGCGCCTGGCGCGCGCGCGTGTGGGCTGCGCCCTCACGCGTGTGGGCGCCAAGATCCAGCATGCGGTCGGCGGGGACCTCGCGCGTGAAAGTGGGCGCGCGGAGGGACGCATCCAACATGTGTTTGGCGCATGCCGGGGCTCGAGCTGAACGGTGCTTTGACGACGTCGTTGACCGTTTTCGTTTTGGTTTAGTCTCGCGGCACCGGCAGAACGAGGACAGAACGAAGGGGCACGAAAGCAGCACACAAACATTGTTCAGCTCGAGCCTTGGCGCGTGCCTATTTGATATGCGTGTTGACATGTGCAGGCGCGAAGGTGAATCTCCAGCATGTGGGCGACGGAATCTTTAAACGAACTACGCGCGCGGAGGAGGGTATTGCACATGCATCGGGAACGTGAGCATCTGGAGGAATGTGTTTTTCACGCATGAAGGCGCGAAGGGGGGCAGCCAACATGTGGTCGGTGATTCTCCTAACAGTCAACATCGTGCGCAGGACGGCGGAATCCAGCCCACGCCTGGCGCGTGCGCATGTGAGACGTGCTGTCACACGGGTAGGCACTCAGCGGGGTACCCAACGTGTGGTCAGCGGATTTCTCAAACGCAGAAGTACTTGAGAAAGCACGTATCCAAGTGTCAGACGCGAGGAAGTAGGAACGGATGAGGAACGGCAGGGCATGGTGGCAGTTGCGGGAAGAGAACGATGATCAATGTTCGATTTTCTGGCTGCTGCGTGCCATGGTTTGGTTCCGGAGATCTCGGGATGCCCGATCGCGGTAGTAAAGACGTCGGGTTTCGTGATGAAGTCTCATACGAAATGCGCGGTCCGGCCGAACATATTACCATAGCGTGCCAGCGCGAGCGTATACAGTGGATACCATGCCAGGAATCACTCTGCTCGCCTCCAGGGTGCCATGGGTTTCTTGGGTTTCGATGGTTTCGCGATGAAAAGCATGAGGTTCCCACACCACAAATCAATGGACGTCCTGGGGTCTCGGGTTGGGTTTCGTGTGGAAGGTTTCTCGTGGACTGACCTCCACTGCAGCGTGCCAGCACGAGCGTATGGCAGGCATGTAATGTTAAGGTGTTTTCTCAAATTCCCTACCGCGCTCCTGGATCCCTCTCAGGTGTAGTTTCCGAGAACCTTTGGAGGCCTTTGGAAACCCCTTTCTTGGTGAGGAGGAGGAGGAAGAGGAGGAGGAGGAGGAAGAGGAAGGGAAGGAAAATGGGGGGCAGGAAGAGAGAAGGAGGAGGAGGAGGAGGAAGACGACGAGGAGGCGTTTGAGAAGTCTTTTGGTGTATGTTAGTGGTATCTTGGAGGCATGTTTCGGACGAGGCCTTTGGGAAGTTCTTCGGGGTCTGCTATAACATGGCTTTTGGGGCGCTTCCGGGAGGCCTCATAAGCTCTTGGAAGCCTTTTGAGGGCGCTTGGGGGCCTTTGAGGGCCTTCTGAGAGCATCTTGGGGGATTCTTGGGGGCATATTCGAAGCCTTGGGGGCCAGCTTGTGGGGGAGGGCCCTTTGGGTCCCTCCTAGGACGCTCTTGGGCCTTCTTAGGGTCCTCTTGGGCGGTCTCTGGATACTCTTTGGGGCCTCTTGGGCCGTCTTGAGCTGGCTCGGAGAGCTCCTTGGGCCGTCTCTCAATTTGAAGAGCCCGAGCATGAAAGGATACGACAAAAAGGACAACAAGAGTTTTTGGCCTCTGGAGGCCTTCTTGGAGGCCCTCTTGAAGTCCTCTTGGAGCGTCTGAGGAGCTTCTTTGGCCGTCTTGAGGCGTTGCTGAGTGTCTTTGCAGCTTTTCCAGCTCTTTTGGAGCCCATTCTGAACCGTTCTCGAAAGGATGCTGGCCGTCTTGGAGGCCACAGCGTATGGTTCTGGAATCTCCGACGGACCCAGAGGTGCGTCGGCGAGCTCTGCCCCCTTCCCTCCCTCCCCGAGAACGGCATTTTGGACCCCAGGGGAGGGAGAAGAGAGGATGGGGACAGCCAACCAATTCACACGAAGTTCCACCCCTGGCAAGCTAGGTCGGCAGAGGTGTTCCCTCCCTCCTTTCCCTTCTCCGCTTTTCTCTTTCCCTTTTCTCCCCCATGCTGGAACCTTCCTTGGATCCTCGTCCCTTTTCATCCTGCCTCCCATTATCGTCCTCGTACGCCTCCTGTACCTCCAGTCCCCTCTGCTCAGTATCCTGCCCCGCCTCCTCTCTCTCGTGTGTTCCTTTTGTCTGCCTCTTCTGATTGGTTCGCGGTCAATGTTCCGCTGAAGTGTTTCCGCAACCAGATCGGCTCATCTCATACGATCTAGATGCGTTCTCTTGAGGGCGCGCGGTTTCGGTATACCCGAACTCAGGCTCGGCTGCGAAGCTGAGCGGTTTGAATTTTGCACCGTGATGGCGCCAGGGATTGCCAGTTGTGCCTCCTCAGATGACCTCTCGCTTCCGACGTCGGGCCGCGGTGGCCTTCGGCGCGTGCAGTCGGCACCAGTGCTGCCTCGGGGGCCCGTCGTGATGCGTCCTGCCATCTGCCCCGCCCTCGCGTGGGCGGACATGCTGGAGCTCGACGCCCTCCTCCCCGACGACTCGCACACGCCCTCGGGCGGCGCTGGTCTCTCGGCCATCCTGGCCGGGCTCGACGATGGCAGGGCCTTCCCTGATGGAAGGTCGCCTTTCGAGGCGCCAGTCGGCACGCTGCCGCCCAGCACGCCGGCAACGTCCGATCGGGCGGTCAATTGCACCCGAACGCGCCTCAGCACCAAGGCAAGGCCCTTCGTCGCTGCGGGTGCGGCCGCGGCCGAGACCTTGTGGCAGCGGAGTGCCTGGGCTTGCGGTCGCGACAGCGAGCGGCCATCGATCGCGCGGCAGAAGAGCGACGCTTGCAGCGCGCCAGAGACGCGCACCACCGTGATGATGCGGAACGTGCCCTACAGGTGGACGCGGCAGAAGCTGCTCACGCTGCTGGACTCGAAGGGCTTCGCGACAAAGTACGACTTTGTTTATCAGATGGGCTGCGCCCTCTGCCGCCGGTCCCCCCCCGGCCGATCCATCTCGGTCTTGTCCATCTGCCTGGGTTGCGGCATAGGGTGTTCGGGTTGGCCCAAAAGGGGGTCCAGCGACAAGGGGGTGGTGTAATAGATTTGGTGCAGTAGATTTGTGGGGTTGCAATACATTTGGGGCGTGCGGGGCGCAAATGTATTGCTGGATTTTCGCGTGCAATACATTGCAATGCAATGCAACATTATTTTCCGGTGCAATGCATTTGCAATACAATTGCCCGAAATCTATTGCACCACCCCCTTTTAGTTGGACCCCCTTTTTAGGCTACCCAAATCTGCGTCAGTGTTATGTGTATGTGTAAATACATGTATGGTATGTGTTGCGACAGGCCCCGCGGGCAATCCAAGCTTGTGTTGCCTGGGACGGTGCGCGGTAGGCTTTGCCACAGGCTGCGCCAGAACGCCCCGCGGACCATCAGTGCGTCCGCTGCCCCATTCGGCGCGCTTTTGATGGCACTGTCCTGCGCCGGGGAGGGAGAAGGAGAAGGATGAGGGAAGGAGGAGGAGGGAGGAGGACGAGGAGGAGGAGGAGGAGGAGAAAGAGGAGAAAGAAGAGGAGGAGGAAGCTTGAAGGCCAAGGGGTGTGGCAGACCCTCGGGGGCTGCTAAGTGGCGGGTGGCGGCTGCCCGTGTCGGCGCGCAAGCAGTTGTGCCACAGGCGGTGCGCCATAGGCTGCGCCAGACCCCCCGGCGGGTCATCAAGTCGCGATGTGCGAAGGATTTCAAAAAAAACCCTTCGACGAAGGATTGCAAAAACTCTTCGACGAAGGATTGCAATCAAAGGTTTTTTTTTTGGCAATCCTTCGGTCTGTCTTCATTCCACGGGTTGCGTCGCAGGCTGCGCGCCAGAGGTTGCGCACGACCCCCCGGCTTGCATACATCCCATCGGCTGCGCACGAGTTCCCCAGCTTGTCTGCATTCCGTGGGCTGCGCCACAGGTTGCGCGCCATAGGATGCGCTGCACACCCCGCGGGCCACCACCTCGCGATGTCCCCCGTCTCTCTACATTCCATTGGTTGTGCCATGTGTTGCGCGCCATGGGCGCCAGGCACCCCCGCGGGCCAACAAATGGTGATTTCCAGTGTCTGTCTATATTCCATCGGTTGCGCCATGGGTCGTTCGCCAGATATTGCGCCAGGCGCGGGCCACCAACTCCCTTGCCTGTCTACATTAGAGTGGTTGCGTCACTGCTTGCGCGCCACAAGCTGCGCCACATCTTCCCCGCGGGCCACCAAATCGCAATCCGTAGGTTTCTGGATGCCTTGCGGGCCAACGCACAGCGGTTTCCCCAGTCTGAGGTTTGCGGGCCATCGAGTGCGGCAGCCCCCCATCAAGCAGTCCACCAAGTCGCGGTCCCCTTTGCTCTGCACTACACTATGCACTACACTAGTTCCGCCACGCGGTGCGCCAGACACTCCGCGGGCCACGCAGGGCCCTGACCCGCCATCCATACAGCATGCGCTTTTGAGGGATTCGTTCGTTCCGTGATTGGACCACGCAGACACCCGCGACATGTCAGATCGTATGTTCCAATCTTGGTTGTATTGCACCATCGGTTATGCCAGAAGCTGCGACAGGCAACATGCACTGTACCAACCGTATGTGCCATGAATCAACTGGCCGCCCCTGAGGGGGTAGACACCGCCGCCCCACTTGTTTTGAACATGGTTGCTTTGATGAAAAAGCGGCAAGGTGTGTTGACCGCCATTGGACTTGGGGAGGCTTGGTGGAGGAAGATGAGTGGAACGTACATAGCAGACGATTTGAGAGGATCCAAGACGGCCCAACAGGGCCATGCAACCTCCCCAACTTGCTCTGGAGGGCCCCAAGAGGCACCGAAGACAGCCCGAAGGGTACCCAAAAGTGTAGAAAATGCCGTAGCGGGAAAGTCAGATTGAAAGAGGGGGATTAATGGCGGAGTGCAAACAACAACATCAACATCATGCCAGCTGATTAGGGGGGCCTCCAGGGACCCCGTGGGGGCGTCCAAGATGGCTTGAGAGGGCGCCAAGAGGGCGGCCAGACTGTCCAAGATTGCTCCAACAAGCCGTCAGAACACCCCAAGATGCCTCCACGATATCCCAAGGAGGCCACAGGGGCCCCAAGAGTGTCACAAGAGGCTACAAGAGAGCTCCAAGAGACGCACACAGTGGCCTGAGTCTGCCAACTTCATTTGTTGTTTGCAGGTTATAATCTTCTTCGTTTCTTTGGCTCAGCATGACTCGAAGAGGGCTTCAGAAAGTTCCGAGGTCGCCCAAGAGGGCCCCAGTCACGGGCCAAAACAGGCCAAGAGGTCAACAAGAGGCCCCCAAGAAGACAGCCCGGAAGGGCCTCCAGAGACGTTCCAGACGGCGGCATGGGGGTGTCTGGAAATCTCACGTGAGAAGGCGTATTCGATTCGGGGACCTAGTGGCGGGCAGCGGACGCCCAGTTCACAGCCAGTGCCATTGGGCTGGCGAAAGAAAGAGCAGGCCGCGGGGGGGACCTCAGAAGGGGTTGCAAGGGCTCTGAGGCAAGGGTAGATACGAGAAGTGCGTAGGTCGGAGGATTGAGAAACAACCTGTCTTGCAGGCAGAGATCTTACACGCCGTACCTGGTGGGGCGGTGGACTGCTCCGGGCATTCCGCCATCCTACATTGTAGCGTCTTGGCCATCTGCCTGCGTGCCCATGTGCATTCGGAAGTTGTTCGAAAATTACCTTGTCGCGTGAGGCTCGCGTCGGGAAGAAACAGTTGCTAGATGTATCGAGTGCAACACTCAACGCGACACGCCCCCCACCCAAGTCTCGCCATCGAAGCCCGCGAAGTCAATCTAATTAGCCCGGCGAAGGACCCGACCATATGCAGTTGTGAGTACCGCAGTCGTGAGAATCATAGTCGGTGGAGGTCGTTATGGATGTGCCAAAGTGGGATGGCGGCGGCACGCGAGTGCGGCCACTGGGGCCTTCGGTGGGGCTTCCTCTGGGGCCTTCGTACGTGATCTGTCTTATGGGGGGGCACGTGGAAAGATAGACCGATCAAGATGGCCCTTCCCTTGCTTTTTCTTCCTCTTTGCCCGCGCACTCCAAAGTCCAAGGCTGCGGGCGCAGCGCAGCGCGGAATCCCCGCGACGCGCGCGGGTCGCCCCGAAAGGGCCCCACCGACGCGCGCGGGTCGTCCGCTGCGCGGAGCAAAGATGGCTAGTCGGCTGGCTGATAGCCGGCAAGTCTCAGGCCGCGGGGCAGGGCGACGACGGGCAAGCGCGGCGTGGGGCAAAGCGCAGCTCGGAGCTCCCGCGCCCCGCGCTGGCCGCCCCGAGAGGATGCCAGCGGCGCGCGCGGGCCGCCCGCGGTGCGAGGCCAAACGGTTCAACGCTCCAATCGAGACGAGGCGCTGCTCAGGCGGGTCAGCTCCCCAGGTCAGGCTTCGCGGAGAAATTCTGGACGCTTCGCGTATCCCCACCAGTGGCCAATTCGCACTGTGCCGTTGCCCCGGACACTGCTCTTGCCGCCTGACCGTTGCCTGGTGGCCGCAATCCAAAAAAGTATCCCCACCAGCTTTCCGGGCTTGGCCGCTGTGTTTCTAGGCTCGCGCGTTGCTAATTCGATCGGCCCGTGGCCCGGACCTTTCGACTCGGCGCTTGCGCTTCCGCTTGCGCCCGCGAGGAAAACGTATCCCCACCAGCCCATCCAGCAACGATGCCCATGCGAGTTCAGGTGATCCGGGGAGTGCGGGACCAAGGAGTCGGACGGCTGAGCCGTGCGAAGGGGGGAAGAGTAGAAGAAGGAGGCCGGATGGATGGATGACCGGGCGGGGAGAAGAACGCGATGAATAGGAGGAGGAGGAAGAGGAGGAGGAGGAGGAAGAGGAGCAGGAGGAGGAGGAGGAGGAGGAGGAGGAGGAGGAGGAGGAGCAGGAGCAGGAGCAGGAGCAGGAGCAGGAGCAGGAGCAGGAGGAAGAAAAGGACGTGAAGGGGGAAAACGAAGGATGAGCATGAGGAGGGTGCGAGCAAAAAGGGCCAGAGGTCTCTGGGATGCCTCTCGGGGCCTCTTGGGATATCGTTTGGGCGCTTTTTGGTGGCCTCTGGGGACGTTTTGGGGGTATCGTGGCGCTCCTGGGGGGCTCTTGCGCGTCTTGGGTGCCTCGGAGAGGGGGCCTTTTGGAACGTCTGGGGGGCATGTTGGGTGCCCCCGGGATCCTCTTGAAGTCTTTGGGGGGCCTCTTGGGGGTCTTTTGGGAGCCTCGTGGACGCCTCTTGGGGGCCGTCTGGGCGCCTCTTGGGGCCCTATTGGGCCCGCTCGGGGGTTTTTGGGGCGACCTTCGGGCCATCTTGGAGGCCATCGATCAATCAAGAGGGTGCTCCAATCAGCGCCCCCCGCAAGAGGCCACAATGGGGCCAACACCGCTGTAAAACCAATGTTTTCAGGTTTCCTCGCCGAGGCCTTTTTGGACGCTCCAATGGGTCGCGGCACCGCCCGTCCAGGTCCAGGGAAGGGGGTAAAAAGGGGGAGGGGCAGGGGTACCCCCCCCCGAAGGGGAGGAAAGTGTGCTCGTTGGAAGAGGAAATTCTCAAGACCACCTACGCCCAGAGGGCTGTTTGGACTCGGTGAAGCCTAGCTCCTGGCGAGGGCCGTCGCCTCCCTATTGCACCGCTTCGTGCACGCCGCAAACTGCCCCAGCTGATTGGGGGAGCCCTTTTCATGGGGCCACGAGACGTGTGAAGGGTTTGACGCAAGGGCCCGGGGGGCGCGTTTGGACCTTGCCAGTGAAGCCTTCGGTGGGCCTCCTTGGCATCACCGCCTCCTCCTACGTTTCGTGGGCATACGGTGGGCGGGGGACCGAATGTGAACTTTGCCTCTGGGGCCGTCGGTGGAGCCCCCAACGGGGCCACGAAATGTGTGAGGGGTGTGGCGACATGGACATGCCGTGGGTGGGGTGGGCGCATGTGGGTTTTGTTTTTGGGACCTTTAGCCCAGCTCCCAAAAAGGACCACGAACCGTGCGAGCGGTGTGCCGAAATTCACCTGCGGTGGGCCGGGCAGGGCGCAACTGGAATTTGCCTTTGGGTTTTTCGGTGGAGTTCCTTATGGGGCCACGGGCCGTGTGAGTGTTGTGGCGACAGGGACATGCGGTGGGCGGGGTGGGCGCATGTGGACAGTGCCTTCGGGGCCTTCGGTGGAGTTCCCCACGGGGTCACGAACCGTGTGACGGGCGCGGTGACATGGACATGCGGCGGGGCGGGGTGAACGCATGTGGAAATTGCATCTGGGGCCTTCCGTGTTCCCTATTGCGCCACGAGCCGTGTGGGGGTGTGCCGACATGATGGACATGCGGTGGGGGGTGGGGCGCATGCGTGCCGACATGGACATGCGGCGGGCGGGGTGGTTGCATGTGGACTTTGTATCAGGGGCATTTGGTGGAGTTCCCCACGGCGCCACGGGCCGTGTGAATGTGCGCCGAGTTGGACATGAGGTGGGCGGGGTGGGCGCGTGTGGATCTTGCCGCTGGGGCCTTCGGTGGGGTTCTCTGTGGGGCCACGATGGGTGGTGTGCCGAAATCGACATGCGGTGGGCAGGGGGGGCGAATGTGGGTTTTGCCTTTGGGCCCGTCGTAGGAGCCCCCGACAGGGCCACGAACCGTGTGAGGGGCGTGCCGACATGGGCATGCGGCGGGGCGGGGTGGGCGCACGTGGACTTTGCCTCCCGGGCCTGCGGTGGAGCTCCCTATGGGGTCAGGAACCGTGTGACTGGTGTGCCGGAATTCGCCTGCGGTGGGCCGGGCAGGGCGCAGGTGGAATTTGTCTTTGGGGTTTTTGGGTGGAGTTCCTCATGGGGCCACAAACCGTGTGAGCTTTGTGCCGACATGGGCATGCGGTGGGCGGGGTGGCGCATGAGCGGTGTGCCGAGATCAACATGCGGTGGGCGGGGGGGGGGGCGCATGTGGACTTTGCCCCTTGGGCCCTCGGTGGGGCTCCTTACGTATTGGGCCACGGGCCGCGTGGCGGGTGCACCAAAGTGTTGGATTTGCCGAGATCAGAGGCACGGGTCAGAGGAGGGAGGAGGAGGCACAGGAGGAGGAGGAGGAGGAGGAGGAGGAGGAGGCACAGGAGGAGGAGGAGGAGGAGGAGGAGGAGGAGGAGGAGGAGGAGGAGGAGGAGGAGGGAGGAGGAGGAGGGAGGAAGAGGGAGGAGACTGGAGGAAAGAGGTGGAGGAGTGTCTGTTGTAAATGTGGGACCAACACCACAGGATGGTGTGGAAAACAACCTTCGTGGGCTTCTGGAAACCACCATTCCTGGGTGTCTGCGATGGGGGTTATTGGAGCCTTCCTGTGGTCATCTTCGATCATTTCAGGTTGCCTGGAGGTTTTTCGGGGCTGCCTTTGGTCATCTTTGGCTCTTCGGGTAAATTGACGCATCCTGAGGGCGTCTTGGGGCCATCCTGGCGCCTGCCTCGCAATGGTCCACGCGGTTGGGCCGCCTTTTGGCCATCTTGACGCCACCTCGAGCCCCTCCTGGAGAAGATGGAGCCCTCTCAAGGCTTTTCTGTGGCTGTACTGTGGGGCTGCATCTGCAGATGTATGCCTGCTTTTGTTCTGCCCTCTCGGAGTGTCTTGGTGATCCTCCCAACAGGTTTTCGTAGCCCCCTCGGGGCAAATCTTGGGCTGCGTTGAGTCGGCGGCTCGCCCAGGGGGAAGTGGCAATGGACGGGCCTTCTCAGAGGGCTCGGAAGCCCCCTGGACCTCCGAGTAGTTTTCTAAGCCTTCCCCGAAGACGCAGACAACTTCCCAGAAGGCGCGAGGGCCTCTGAGAAGTCCCGCCGCCTTCTGAGAAGGCCTTCTCCGTCTCATTTCCCCCCCTCGCTCGCCGCCGATCGAGGCCGCCTTGGGACGTCCTTGGGCTTTTGGGGGGGAGCTCCCGGGCAGCCTCTTTGGGCCGTCCTTGGCTGCCTGGTGACGTCCGAGATCCATGGGGCGGCCAAGGGCGGCCACAGGAGGGCGGCAGAGCGAAACAACATGCCCAACCCACCATCGGCGTCGAGCGAGGGGGGGAAATGAGACGGAGAAGGCCTTCTCAGAAGGCGGCGGGACTTCTCAGCAGCCTTCGCGCATTCTGTGGAGTTTTCAGTGTCTTCGGGGAAGGCTTAGACAACTTCTCGGGCGGTCACGGGACTTCCGAGCTTTCTGAGAAGGCCCGTCCTTTCTCGTTTCCCATCCTCGCTCGCCGCCGAACAGCAACTAGACAAACAGCACAACCCGACCGCTTGCAGGCAGCCATGCAGGAGACATAGCCAGAGATACTAAGAGAGAGGCAGGAAGCAGGACAAGATACATGGAGGAAATGGTACCCGTACCGCTAACCCTGTCTAGTTCTCGCGGTTTTTGGGCCTCCTGGGAGACCCTCGTCGCCACCGCTGGATTCGCCTCAATTCTGCTCAGAGAGCACCCAGGGAAAGGTCTGGGGAGTAGCGGAATTGGTACCTCCGCCTCTTCAGAGACAGAAGGCATGAGGGACCAGCAAGACATAAGATCAGCCCCGCAGGGTGTTCTTCTGCGCGGTGCCCCCAGAGGGGGCTGGTGGCCATCCCGGTCGACTTCGAGACCACCCATTCCCGCGGTTTCTCGTTTGTGAACTTGACCAGCGTAAGTCACGTGAAGCCTTTCGTAGAGACGTTCGGGGGCTTTTGTGACTGGCAGAGTGGGGCTTGCAAGAAGAAGTGCGAGGTGTGCTGGAGCGAAACGCAGACCTTAGAGTCCAACATCCTCCGCTACAAGGGCAGCCTTGTCATGGACCCATCGGTACCGGATGATTTCAAGCCGATCGTATTGAAGGATGGCGTGCGCATCCCGTTTCCGCAGTCCATCCGAGAGTACCACGAGTTTGGCCAGAAGTCTGGAACCAGGAGGGGTTGGCGAAGGACTACGAACATCTCATTCTCGGCAAACAGAGGCCGCCGCAAGTGAACACAGTAGCCATCTTCATCCCGAACTTCCTTTCTCACTCTGCCTTATTCGCTCTCATTATTTGCCGATTGCCGCAAGTTCCTGAATCTGGTTTTAACTGGCGCAAGACCTGCCTCCTGTCCAACCTAAGTATAGTTAGACACGGGGGAAGAAGGGAGGGGATGAGGAACAGAGGAAGGCACGTAATACCAAGAGCATGTCGACAGAGGCTAGAGCAGGCGCCTGCTACTGCTCTCGCCCACGGGCATGGCGTTTCCCTTTCCTTCGTCCTTCACGTCTTCCCGTTTCCCGTCTTCCCTTTCTTGCGTCCCTCTTTTTCTTTTAGGGTGGTTCGCGAGACGCCTGATAAGCCTTACGTGTGGAGTCGCTCCCACCGCCGTCCAATCTAAATGTCGGACCGTCGGTTCTTCATCCGGGATGCACTTGCAGCCGCTCCACACGTGATAAATCTACACGGCGTTCAATTTGACGCCAATTACGTGGACGCGCGCCAGGCCACACCAGGGAATGGCGGGTCTGTTGTAAGTACTGTCGGTATTTACCCTTCACTTCAGCATCAGTCCTTGCCGTATCTACATCGCATGGAGGCGTCAAGTCCTTCGTACTGTCTTGGGATGTCAGATCGCGTGCGATGCTTGATCGCGGCCCTGACCATACACCATAGGAATTCGGAGGCCACGGCCTCACCTGGTCTCAACTAGGCCTGGGCTGCTGTCCGCATTCGGTCGTCGGATGTGCCCAGGCAAATCGCCGCGCCAGGAAAAGGAAACGACAGCGCGCGCGAACCGATGTGTGGTACCCCTAGTGGCCTTGGGCCCCTTAGGGGATATCTTTGGGCCCTCTGGGTGGAGGCGGAGGAGGAGGAGGAGGAGGAGGAGGAGGAGGAGGGGGAGGAGGAGGCGGAGGCGGAGGCGGAGGCGGAGGGAGGCGGAGGCGGAGGAGGAGGAGGAGGAGGAGGAGGAGGAGGAGGAGGAGGAGGAGGAGGAGGAGGAGGAGGAGGAGAAGGAGGAGGAGGAGGAGTCTGTCTGGGCACACCCTGCAGCCTCTTGGGAGCCTCCTGGGGGCCTCCTGGGCTCAAGGGGCTCTCGGGGCCGTGTCGGGCTGGGAAGGTTTCCTTGGGCACCTGGCCTGGCGCACCCTCCTCCACCTCCTCCTCCCGCCTCCTCCGCGTCTCCTCCTCCTGCTCTCTCCTCCTCCTCTCTCCTCTCCCCTCCTCCTCCTCCCTCCTCCCCTCCTCCTCCTCATCCCCTCCTCCTCCTCCTCCTCCTCCTCCTCCTCCTCCGCCTCCTCCCCCTCCTTCTCCCCCTCCTCCCCCTCCTCCTGCTCCTCCTCCTCCTCCTCCTCCTCCTCCTCCTCCTCACCTGTTCCTCGTCCTCTTCCTTCTCTGCGGCAGAAGACCCGAAGCAGCTTTCCAAATGGCCTTGCCGTCGAGCTCCTTTCCTCTCTTATTACGAGCGCGAGTCATGCCAAGACAGCGCGTGGTCTGTCGTATCGGGGTCTGAAGGGGGATTCCTCAGAGTTTCTGAGGATCCCTCCGGATTTTTTCCGGATCCTGACAGTCCCTGCGGATTCTTAAGAATTCCGATTAATCCCTAGGGTTCCCGAAGAATCTTCTAGGTATTTCCAAGGATTCCGAATTCCTGCGGATCCTGGAGGATCAACATGAATCTCATGAATCCCTTAGTGTCCCTGTAGGGATTCCTAAGAACCCCGCAGGATCTCAGCATTTCGCGATCCCAATGGATTCAGACAAAATCCAAGGAATTCCAAAGGATCCCTGACGGTATTCCTGAGGATCCGGATGGTTTTTAGAGCGTGTTTCTTTATTGTTTGTGGCAAAACGGGCGTTATGGCCCCCCCTATAACGTAACGACCCCCCCCCCCAGGGCGCCCTGGGCATTGGGGCATTGCCGCCGTGCGCATCGGGATTTGCATAGGCATTCGCATCGGGGTCTGGTCCGCAGTCGTCGTCGTCGTCGTCCTCGTCGTCGTCATTGTCGTGGTCGTGGTCGTGGTCGTGGTCGTCGTCGTTGTCCTCGTCGCTCGTCGCTCGTCGCTCGTCGATCATCGTTGTCGTGCGCGTGGACGCGGCTGGAGCCTCTTTTTTTATTCCGGGCCGATGACGGCCATCATTTGGGGTGAGGGGAGAGGGCCGGTGACGTCACCTTTCGCGCCGGCGGCGATTGGGAATGCCTGGGAATGAGGACGGATAGTAGCAGCATGTAGGTGGCGATCTGCACCACAGCGCCTGTGTACACCACACCGCCCATGTACAGCAGCAGCCGCGTGCAACACAGCGCCAGTGTGTGCCACAGTGCCTGCGAGCACCACAGCGCTTGTGTACACTACAGCGCCTGCGTACAGCACATCAGCCGTGCGCAACACAGCACCAGTGTACACAATGTCTGCGTGCACTACAGCGCCTGGATTGCACCACGGTGCCTGCGTGCACCATCCCAACCAGGTGCAACAGAACACCACTGTTGCATACAGAATGTTAGAATCCTTATGACAAAATGGAGCGCCTGTGGATTCCACCGAACATTTGTTTTATATAGGATTTGGAAAGGGAGCCTGATGGAAAAAGGAGCGCCACTGGAATCTACGAGTCCTCCCGATTCCTCCAGCATCATCCAAAATTATCCCATGTGCGTCCAGGAGGCTCCGGCAGAATTGGCCGTCCGAGAACCAATTGGACTGATTCCAAAAACCATTCTGCGGTGCACGCTAAGATGCGCACGTGCGCTGTAGCGCCGACCCGCACGAAAGGAGGGAAGGGTAAGGGAGGAGGAGGATGAGGACGAGGAGAGATGAGAGAGGAGAGAGGGGGGGAAGAACATCGCATTCTATTATCAGCACCTCCCTGGGGTGGTGTTTGGCTGTCCGCAGCAGATCCTCACCTACATGCTCCTTCTACTTGTCCTGTGCACGCAGGCGTTGTGGTGTACCCCAGCGCTGCGTTGCACGCGGATGCTGTGGTGAAGACTGGAGCTGTGGTGTGCACGGGTGCTGCAGTGCACGCGAGCATTGTGATGTACGCTGGCGCTGTGTTGCGCATGGTTGCTGCGGTGTACACATTCGCTGTGGTGTACACCGGCGCTGTAGTGCACGCGAGGTGGGGGGAGGCGTTACGTTCTCCCTCCCCCCCGCCGCCCCCCCCATGGCGCCCGCTATCGACGAACATGCAGAGACGCGTTCTAAGAGGGGGCGAGGACGTTGACGCGTGCCTCCACTTGTCAGTTCCGAGGGCGGCCCTCGTCGCCGCCCCCAGACCCGCTTCGGAAGCCCAGGCAGAGGCAGAACGCGCTCTGGGAGATGTCCCAGGATCAACCGGTGTCGTCGTCGTCACCGTCGGGGAGTTTCCCCGGGGGTTCTGCAGGCTTCTGGCAGGCAAGGTTCGAGCGCATTTGGGGGTGCTATCTCGGCCGCTTTTCCTTTTTGCTCGTCAGTGGCTATCCCATCTCGTGCTCGGTCTCTCATGTGATACGGATGCGCGCGCGGCGCGGATCTTTTGGGCGAAAGCGAGCGCGGCTCGAGCGATCTGCGTAGCTCTAAGGCTACGGGCCCTAGTTCGAAATCAAAATTGCAGCGCCGACAAGGAATGAAACCACAGGCCCCTCGAGGCTTCTGGGGGAAACCCTCTCGGGCTTTTCCATTCCTGGGGAGTGAGCTTGATTCACATTCCTCCTAGTCGCCGTCGTGGCGTCTCGGGCGCGTGAGTTGGGATTATAACATGTCACTCGCCGGAAACTGCATTGCAAACAGGGGTATGATTATCAAGGTAATATTTAGCAAGCAAACGGCTTGCACGGATACAGGGTATACTCAGCTCTCAGCGCCGCTGGCGCTTAATCGAAGGCAGATCGAACGATGGCAAGAGTTTGATCGCGAAGCGACAGCACCCAAAATATGTAGCCATCTTACCGAGTTCAGATCTGAATGCCGAACGGGTGCGATCGTCATCACATCGATATCAAACAAACTGTGCGCACTGAAACGAATGAAGTTTCTCGGGAATAATGCGGAATTACGTGTGGATCTTTGGCCGGGCGTGACATCTGAGCAGCTTTGCGGCATACATCAATATTCAGCCGGGTATGAAATCTGAGCAGCAATGCGTTTTAAGGTATGAATAGCCGAATACGAAATCTGAGCAGCAATGCGGCCTAACGTTGAATAGCCGGGTATGAAATTTGAGTATCAGAATATTGCGGGTCCGATTGGCCAACTTGCCGTCCGAAAACCAAGCGGGGTTTACTTGTCTTTCTTTGGTTTCGCCGGTTTTTCCGTCAGGTCGGATCCTCTCCAAACGTCGACTGCCTGTGAGTTTCCACCAGTGACCAGTGGCCCTTGCGATCGTTCATCACACTCTCTGGGAAAATTGTGAAATCGGGGTTGCCAGAATGATAATGCCGAAGCAGCCACGACGCGTGCTTCTTGCAGGTCTTGCAAGTGATGTAGACACTGTGCGGGTTATGGCTGATGGCAACATCATGATGGGGAATGCACGTCACGCAACTGAGCATGTCATTCGGCTGCACACTCGGGGAGGATCCGCTCCACGATGCAACACTGGCTGATGTGGCTGACACGGAACTCGATGAACCCGTCACGGAAACAACGGTTGGTGATGCGGGGGCCGAACTTCTTTGCGATATTGCTGATGTTGATCGTTCAGATCCCCGTGCTGATGCTGCGGTATACGGTGATGGCGGCGCGCTGGCAGGTGGTGGCCCTGTCGGTACCAGCGGCGGCGGCGTTTGTTGGATTGCAACCGACGCTACTGAACTCGAAGCCTGTGCGCTGCTGAACACGTCCGCGTGGGACATCGTGATGTCACCATCGTGATCACGATCTTCTGGAATTGTAGGTAGTATGTTGCGGCGCCGGCCGACCATGCGGCCGTCCCGTCCCATCCAGGGTGTTCGCCCATGGCCTT